ATGCCCAAGGTCCCAGGAAGTTACCTCCTCGGCCCTCACTGGCAGCCGGCTTCACCTGGATCGGACGACTCATCTGAAAGACATTGGACCAGCAAGCCCATTCAGCGGGGCTCCCGGTCGGCCCCAATTTCCCCTCCAGGTCCCTTGGGATCGGAGCCCAAGCCCTTCATATCTGTGGTCAGCACTGCCCCAGCACAGTATCGGTTTCCCCAAGATCCCTTCCTCCAAGTCGGGAGTGGAGAAGGAGCTGGGAGACAGGAAGCCTGGGCGAGCACAGGACTCTGGGCCCCTGGCCCCTGGCCATACTGGAAGGCTTCCCGTGAGAGGCGCTGGGTGGCAGGTGGCCCTGACACTGCAGATTTGTGTCTCGCTGACATCGAGGCTGAAACACTGTCGTCGAGATTTAAACAGCCAGGGCCCAGCGTCGCGGGACCGCCCCGACCTGCCCTCTGTGGGAAGGCCACCCTCTCTCACGCCCAGTGTGACAGATGGGGAAAAGCCCCAAGCCTCTGCCTCACCATGGTCTCCACCCTCCCCTCCACCCCCTCGCAGGCTCCCCTTCCCCTGAGGGTACTCAAGGTCTCCAGGCATCGTGCTCCGCCCTGGCTCGTCTCCCTCGTCCCAGTCTTCCGGGACAGTCTCCCCCGGGGGTGACTCGGACTTCCGTGTCTCCAGCCCCCTCTGCTGTGCCTTGGGCCCACATCCCCAGCTGCCTGCCGGACGTCCCAGCCAGGAAGTCCCCAGGCATCACTCAGCACACCTAAACCAGAGCCCGTCCTTTTGCCCGGACCGGACTCTCCTGACCACCCAAGCTGTGAAACTGAAGGGCCGCTGGACAGCCCCCCCGGCCCACTGCGCCGTGTAACTCGGGGGCTCCCTGACAGGGCGAGGATCACCTGGGAACCACAGCGGACTGGCAAGCTGGGGGCTGTGCCATTTGAAGGAGCTCCTCGGTGATCTCCATATATACCCGCCGCGCCCCCCCAGCCACCCTGAGGGAATTCATGATGGAACCCCCACCTCACCTTCCTCTCATGGGTGTCGTGGGGACCACATGAGGTAATGGGGACGCAATAGGGTCTTTGCAAACTGCCAAGAGCTGGGTGCGTGGGGCGTGAGTAGTTGGGGGGCAGACAGCTGAGTGCCGGGAGGAAAGGACAGCGGCCTCCCTGCCATGGACGAAGGGGTGCTGATGCCCATCTGGCCTGAGGAGGTGATGGGCTGACCCCTCCCTTCAGGAAATGTACTGCTTCTGCACCAATCAGGGGCCACTCCATCTCTTACCAACATGCTTGTTGCCGAGACAACAGGCAGCTTCCTGTTGCCATAGCCACAAGTGCTACCCGGTAACCATGGTAACGCCCTGGCAGTCACAGTTGAGCAATTTCCTTTGGATCAAATTTGGGAGTGAGAGGGGTGGGGAGAACTTACTTAAAAGAGAGAGAGAGAGAGAGAGAGAGAGGAAAGGAACACAGGCGACCCTGAAGCAGCACGAGCCCCGGGGCTCAGACACACCCACTGCCGGGGTGGAGCGCCAGGGTGTCCCAGGGTGCGGGTGGAGGCCCAGACACCCACGGGACTCGGGCTGCAGCTAGAGAGGATGACCGGCCCGTCCCAGCAGGTCAGGGCAGGCTGGCCAGGTCTGGACAGACACCTGTGACTGGAGGGGGACTGACGGGCAGAGCCGTGGAGTGCGCAGACACAGGAGCGATGGAGCGATGGGCAGACCAGGACCAGGGCGAGGAAAGAGCGTTCCTGAGGGCGGGGGAGGAAATGAGGCGAAGGGGAGGCAGGGAGGAGCCTGTCGGGGGAGGTGAGCGAGGGCGGAGGCCCAGGCTGGGGGCAGTGGGGTGACCGAGGCTATCATTATTTTACCAGTTCTTAAATAGATCCCGAGAATTTCTCTCCAGAGCCTAGAGTGACGAACGCGGGTGACAGCAGCGGTTTCCATGGCAGCTGCCTCCTGGCTGGGTTTCCTGGGAGATGTTGCTCACTGGTGCTCTGGGAGACGCCCCTTGCCCTCCACCACCCTCTAAGGAGAGGGGACGCTGAGTGGCACATCTCCCAAGGACCTGGCCAGGGCAGAGGCTGCAGAGGCTGGAGGCCCCAGCGTGCAGCCAGCATTTCCCGAGGCTGCAGTGAGCCCCAGGAGGGTCCCTTTTAAGGGACAGTGGTGACCTAGATGGGGACCTCTCCTGTCTGCTCCCAGAGGAAGAGATGATGCCACCGTCCTGAGCCCACTGAGTGCCAGGCCCCTGCAGGGCACTGCACTGCCCCTTTTAGTCACACTGCAAGGTAATACCCACGTCCCACACTGCAGGTGGGGACCCGAGCCCGCAGGTTAAAGCCAAGATTGCAGGTGGCTAGGTGGTCGGGCTGGGATCTGCGCAGGTCTGTGTAATTCTGAAGTCCTTAAGTTTTGCATCATGCTGCCCACCTCCATTCCTTAACTCCCCACCCCCCGCCCCCAGGCACTTGTCCTCTCTGGAGAGAGAGAGAACAGAGACGTGAGAGAGTACGCCCATGGGCAGTCTCACCACACTCCCTGCTCCTTGGGGCCAGTACTTGAACTATGCAGTAGGCTATGTGTGGTCCACACCGTAACCACCAGGCCTGGGGCTGGTCCAGTCTATTCTTAAGACATTAACACAGGGCATAGACATTAATGCAGGTAGTGTAGTGGTTAAGGTGCTGGATTCCCACATGGCCGACTGCGGTTTGAGTCCTGGATCTGGTGGCTTGCTTTCTCACTTTCCCTCTCTCTGTCTCTCTCTGGTGAATTAAGAAAATAACAATAATAATAAAATTAATGAAAAGAAAGTAAAATATAAAAAAAAAAAGACAGTAGACACCAGCAGGTGATGTAAAGGTTAACATTGCTGGACTCCCATGTAGTCAACCACAGTTCAGGTCCTGAACTCGGCAGCTAAAATTCACATCAGGCACTTGTGCGTGTGTGCCCGAAATAGTAAGAGAAGACTGAATTAGAAGGGATTGAGGTGTGGCCATCACCCGGGGTGGTGGGGTGGTGGTGATTTCTCGCTTTCTGTCTCTGGTGAGCACACACAACCCTACAAGCAAAAATCTCTCTCTAAAATAAAACAATAATAATTATAATAAAATGAATAAAAATAAATAAAATTAAATAAATAATTCTTTTTTAAAAAAAGACATGATGGGACCAGCAGATGGCATAATGGTTATGTTGCTGAACTCCCACATACCACTGCAGTTCGAGTCCTGGACCTGGCGGCTTAAAGCTCACACCGGGTGTGTGTGCGTATGTGCCCAAAATCCCAAGAGAAGAATGGAGGAGAGGGGATTGTGGCGTGGCCATCCCCCATGGGGGTGATTTCTCGCTTTCTGACTCTCCAGCGAGCGTATGCACCTTACGGCAAAAATCTAAAAAAAAAGGACATTAACACAAATAGGTAGAGAGGGCCAGGGCTCTGCGGGAGGCCAAGGCTGTGGGGAGCTCACTCAGGCACAGCTTCACGAAGGAAGTGGCGTCTGCCGTGGGCCTTGCAGGCCTGGAGTCATCAGCTGTGTTCAGATAATGGGAGAGGCAGGGCCGGGGTGAGCCCTGGCCTGGCTGGGGTGTGGCCAGGGAGCTGCCCGTCTGAAGGAGCACGGTTCTGGCGAGCGTCTGGCGTAGAAGAGCTGCCAGCGTGGAGCAGACTGGGTTTCCGGCAGATGGGGCGGATGGCCGCCCATTAAAAAGTACACACTGGCGAGCTCAGGGCGGGCTGGGAAAACCGCATCAAGAAATGGGCCTTAACTACCCCCTTGCTGTCGTGGTTAAGGTGCTGGACTCACACATGGCCAACCGCAGACTGAGTCCCAGAAGGTGCCGAAGGGAGAAGATGTCGCCCATGAGCTGGGAGTCAGGCCCGTAAGGGAGCCCCCTCTGGGTCCCAGAAGGCAGGCTGGACTTGGGCCTCCCCCTCTCTAGGCGGATTCTGGAGTTTAGAGCTTGCCCCAAATCTCAGGAGAATGGAGGAGAAGCGACTGAGGTGTGGCCACCCCCCGGGGGGTGATTTCTCACTTTCTGTCTGTCTCTACCTCTCTCTCCAGTGACTACGTATGCCCTGTCAACAAAAATATCTCTCAAAAAAAAGAGACCTTGCATTTTTCTTTTTAAAGTTTTGCAAAAGGGCATGTACACTCACTGGGGAGAGACAGAGAAAGAGAGGGAAAGTGAGACAGCCATTCTCAAGGGCGACGGTCACTATGCAACCCCTTCTCTGCCATCTTGCTCCTTTCGGAATTCGGGGCACATGGACACACACCCGCATGTTCCTCGAGCTGTCGGGGTCAGGATTCGAACTGTGCAGGCAGCCATGTGGGATCTAGCCATCTTAACCACTGCTCTGGGCTGGTCCATCCTTGTATTTTAAAGACAATGAGGATCCAGGAGAGGATTTGAAGTAGAGACGAGATCTACTTCAGAAATTCAGGTTTTGTCCTACCCAGGGTCCGCCCGGCCCTGCTGTCACTGTGTATAGAATGGGTGGGAGAGGGAGTGACCAGAGGCAGCGAGGTCAGTAATACAGTGAGGGTGACCTTGCAGGGCAGAGGGAAATGGGCAGGTAAAGAGGTGCTTAGCAAGAAGTAGCAGGCCTATAGTTCTGTGGGGTGTGGGCCCCAAGGGACAGGAGGGATGTGGAGGCAAACTGGGCTTATGGCTTGGGAGCTGGGCAAGTTGGAAGTTTGAGTCAGGAGGTGCCGGGACGTTGGGGCGGGAGGAGGCTATGGATGGGGTTGAGGGCAGTGGTAGTGCTCGCCCCGGCTCTGAGCCTCAGTCTCTGCAGGGCTGGGTCCCTTCAGGGACAACATCTGGCATTCAGGTGGGCTGTGTGGCTGGAGGGGAGCCACACTCTCCTCCTGGTGGCCCTACCTGCCTCCTTCCGGCCACAACAGAGCAGTCATGGGAGTGGGGCCAGGTCATCAGGAAAAAAGTGCATTGCCTCCTGGGCTAACATGGTGTGGCCGGACGTCCAGAGAGCTGGCGCCTGGCTGAGGATCACCTGGCTGAGGATCACCTGGCTGGGGGCTGCTCCCTGCAGAGCTTCC